TAGCCGCATCTCTACCAGAAAGGCTTCCGCAGATTCAGGTCAGAAGGCACTTACGCTCTTGCCGCGCACCTTTATGACGCGAAATTATCACACCTTCAGCGTTTTCCACCAGAGCTCCTCAATCACGAGAGGACGCTTTTCTGAGCTAATCAAGCCTTTAAGGGTCGGGGAGCACTAGAAGCAACAACCTGTATAATGGTGACTGATACCCAATAAATACATACAACCCATTTTTGTGAGATATGAATTGAGCTATACAAGCATCAAAGAGACAAATTGAAGTAAAAGGAAAACAAATGGTACTGTATTGAACTAATTACCTTCGTGAATCGTAATCCCATAGGTCTTATGAAGCGTTCAAACTTTGCTGGTTTACGGGTGAACGACTCGCCAACGAACGTCACCTGTGATTTGAGTGATCGTCACACATAATCAACATTTATAAATATGATGCCGAAAAAAGGATGTAGTACAAACACACTTTTGTGACCATTCGCTTCCAACCTTTCCTGTTTGTTTTTCCAGTCTTTACAACTTTGAATGCTTCCGCGTCACTGACAGCTCTGACTTGTGGTAGAGGAACTTGATATTTACCCTTGAAAAAGTGGAATAATCTGTAACATGGAATCAAAATACGTTTTCATGGGTATCCACGGATGACACGAGAGTAGTCAAGTGGTGCAGCTAAGAAATGATTCTATGGACTTAATGCAATTTCCTTCACTTCCTCTGATTTCATTGAGCTCCTCACAGAAAAAAAAATTGATGGATACACTCACAGCTTTCTGTTTCCTCTTCTGCTTGATCATATTTGAAAGAACTGTGCCAGTAGTTTGCTGCTGGCGATCTAAGAGATAAGCGGGAACAGCACCCTAAAAATAAACACTCTAAAAGAGCTCATAATGACACAACTACAAAAATGCTTACCTGATCGGGTGTGTCCACAGTACTCTTTTGTTGCTTTTCCTCATGCTGCTTTAGCAATTTACGCATTTCGACCTAAATTGACTCTTGATAAGTTTCTTCACACTGATTGTAAGTGACAAGTGATAGAGCTGCGAAGTGAAGAAATTAGGAGATTCCAACCTTCTCGGAATATCTCTTCTTGTGGTAGAGCTTGGCCTTATGACCGCGCAGCTTCTTAGCCATTTGAGAACGCTCATGACCAGCTCGGGCCTGCTTTTTTCGCCTTAAAATTTTTATTTTTTCGGACCGATTACTTCGAAAAACATCATCTATACAGATTTGCGAACATCGTGCAAATATGGCATGATTTTACTGCACGTCTCACAGTGATAACTACTATAGTCTATTACTTTACTACTCCAATCCTAGTGATCCCTCTTCAATATAATCATAATAATCCCTCTATATAATCCCTCTTCAGCGACACCGCGACTTACGGCCAACAATATTGTAAAAAAAGGGTGCTAACTTAGTTGGGGGGGGGCCACGCGGCGGCGCGGCAGTCTGCTCGCCTGGCATCTTCGGAAATCCGTGGGCCAGGGGGAGTGTAGCCAGTGGCCGATGTCAGACTCTGCGATTGGAGCGATCGGTTAAATGCCGATAATCAATCGATTATAATTAATCGATCGATACCTCAGTCAACGTATCGATCGAGAGGGGCGCGCCAGCCACAACGGGAGTGATCGCGCCCATCGCGCGATTGGAGCGATTGGTCATGATGGGAGTCATGTCAATCGCGCGATGGTCGCGCGATTGGCATTTGACCGATCGCTCCAATCGCAGAGTCTGACATCGGCCAGTCTAGGGGGGGGGGGTGGGGGCAGTCACTTGACATGCGTGAAAAGCTGGAATGTTCGAGTTTACACTGTCTCGCTCGAGAGAGCCCAGGTGAGCAGACTGCCGCGCCGCCGCGTGGCCCCCCCAACTAAGTTAGCACCAAAATGTAGAGACAGTTCGAAGAATCGAAGTGAAACGAGTATAACTCACTGTCTTTCTTCATAATCAAGGCGTCTTCCATGCCTCTTCCGATGAAGGTCCATATGATCGTTTTGCGGCTGAAAAGTGAGGTGGGTAAAGAGACACCACAGCAGATTGACCAGACAGGAAGGCTTACCATTTTTGTTGGTTATCTAGTATGAGCCCAAACGTCCGAAACGAATCTAAAAGAAATACATGCAGCCTTACAAAGTAAAACCGGGCATGACCAAACGAAGCACCCGAAACGAAAACCACACTTCATTAGAGACACAAGAGCAGCTCAAACAATGCAAGTGAATACAAAATAAAACGACAGTACAAGAATTCACTGAAACAAAGCACAAATATGTGATCGGTGGCATCAGCTTGCGACGTTTCACAAATTATGAATTAAAGGAAGAATGCATGCAAAAACCCTAGTGTTCCCGAAACGATTTGCTATAGAGCGCGATATTTTTCTATTCAAACGGAGCGAAAAATCTATTCTTATGGATCGACATGAGAGCATCTGTGCTTATATTCGCTTTTGGTTTTGTATTCGTACCTTGTTCAACATTTCAACTTTTCACGCATGTCAACTGACTGTCCTCACCCCACTCAACTGTACCACTCCCTGGCTCATGAAATTTCCCGCTCCACACTGAGGTGAACGTGCCACGCAACGCGGCGGCGAGCTCCCCAAGCCACATTGCTCCCTGATACTTTTTCGGTCCTACGTGATTTGGGGGGGGGGGGAATACGTGGCGGCGCCGCTACTCCAGCGCAGCGCCCTCGCCGCTAAACTTACACGGGAAAAAACGGCGGACGAGTTTTCGACGCCAATACTGGTTTGATCTCGATCGGTAGTGACTTGTACGACTATTACTTAAACTAAGAAGTCGCTCTCGAGTACATAGTCAAAACATGGACAGCTCGTATCGTGATTCATTACTGCAAAACTCTCTTCCAAGCAACACTAATGGTAAGCATTTTAAGACGCTACCGCAAGCGAGGGGCATTGGCAGTGCACTCAACCGCATTAAACATCTTCTTGTTGAAAACAGGACAAAGCCTTAGGCGAGGGAGGAGAGACTCCAAATAGTGAGCAAGTCTCGTTTTCCCTGATATTCCTACCACTCCTATGCTTAGTCCTGAGGGACACTCCTGCAACTTGCGATTGCGTTCATATTCACTTGTTGGTTTCATGTCATGACTGCATAATCGCATAATAAATATCGATGATGTAAGTTCGTCATACTAACAGAGCAACTGCTCACCATCTGGTGTCGCGATATTGTAAGTGATAATCACTAATCATACCCAGCTATGCCGAACTTGGACTCATACAGTGCAAATCCGTACCATGAGCTATCATAGTAGCTTGATCCCAGGTAACGAAATTGTGGGAATCATTTGCGACAGAACTACATCCCGAAAATTGAAGTCCCGAACCACGAAACTCGTGCTCTTCATTTCCTAATGATAATTTTGATCACTTCCGCATTCAAATTCAGATGGACGATCCCCGATGATCGATTGGCATTGAAGGGACAGCAGGCCTTGGTCCCACAGCGAAATGTACCCCTAACCTAGAATTCAAACCTTTCTGGCGCGAAAAAACTCGTCCGCCGTTTTTTCCCGTGTAAGTTTAGCGGCGAGTCTCAAGCGCGGTGAGACCAAGCTTGAGCTTTGGAGTGAGTGAGCTGACATTACGATTTGTGATTGACTTTTGGCACATTTGAGGGACGTATTCAACTTTTACGATCCAAAATTTGAAATTTTGTTCTTCTTCAAAACTGCTCATCAGGGTAATTCGATGCCCTGAGACCGACGTCATAGTCGGCGACGGACAAGCGATGGAGCGATCGCCATCGCTTGTCCGTCGCTTGCCAATCGCTCTCGGACCGAGCGATCGCGATCGCTCTATCACTTGGTCCGTCGCCGACTATGACGTCGGTCTGATTATGAAAATGACGTTAAATTTTTGGCGTAGTGCCATCTGGCGTCACCTTGAAACTAAAATTGTTCCCACCAAATTTGATGTAAGCGATTTCACGTAGCGGGTATTTGGTGTCCTGATTACGAATATGACATTCGCTTTCGCTGTTGACGCTGTTCAACGTGCATTTCCCGTTCTCCTGAGTTCTCTCATCTACCACAGCGTCTGAGAGTAAGCTTGGGAAGCAGGGGAACGCCGGCGTGGGTAAAGCAGGTATCGTGTGGCGTGGTTCACTGGGATAGAAAGCGAATTTTCCGCTCTTCAAACGCGAAACTTCTCGTGGCAACAACCGGGTCCACCCGTGGGCAGCGGTGGAATTGAGGTTCCCGCAGCGAGAAAGGATTCGCGCTGCGAAAAGCGCGAAATTCGCCTTCTATCCTAGTGAACCGCAGGCTAGGGTGGCAAAAGGTAGAACGTCAAATCACTGAGTGAGTGGTTTACTTACCATGGAACCCTCCACTCACTGGCCGATGTCAGACTCTGCGATTGGAGCGATTCGGTCAAATGTGAATCGCGCGACCATCGCGCGATTCGCGCGATTCACATGACTCCCATCATGACCAAATCGCTCCAATGGCCGATGTCAGACTCTGCGATTGGAGCGATTGACATGACTCCCATCATGACCAATCGCTCCAATCGCGCGATCACTCCCGTTGTGGCAGGGAGCGATCAATCGCTGGCGCGCCCCCCTCGATCGATACGTTGACTGCGGAGCTGCGCTCCCTGCCACAACGGGGTGATCGCGCGATTGGAGCGATTGGTCATGATGGGAGTCATGTCAATCGCTCCAATCGCAGAGTCTGACATCGGCCATTGGAGCGATTTGGTCATGATGGGAGTCATGTGAATCGCGCGAATCGCGCGATGGTCGCGCGATTCACATTTGACCGAATTGCTCCAATCGCAGAGTCTGACATCGGCCACTAAGGATAAGTTCTGTCGCCAAATGGCGCTACCGCTACAAATGATTGCCATTTTCGTAATCAGGGCATAGAATTACTCATATAGGCAAGGTTTCGACGAAAAATAAGGTTTTGAGGTTTTGGTCCTGTAATGCTTAAATAGTGCCCATTTAAGCCTCCTATACTCAGGCTCAGTGCCATTGCGTTTGAGAGACGCCGTGCTGCCGCGTTGTCCCCAACTCGCTTAGCATCACCTTTCTGGGTTTTTTGATACTCGAAGTAAGGAGGTGATGTCGCTTCCAATATCTTTGGTCTTTGTAGTATGCTTTGCTAGCCATGCGCTGTGGAATACTCAGAACTTGATCTCTAGCGCTTCTGCTGTAGCCATTAGAATTAGCATGCAGATCAACAAGAGCAGCACTGAGATTCTAAAGCTGTTACGACAGATGAACATGTTGTGACTAACTTTCGTTTGGATTTCTTTTTAATTTCGGTAGTACGATAGGTGGTTATGGCTTTGTACGATCTCTGAGCTCCTCTTTAGAAAGTTGAAGAAGTGCCCCTAATCGCATCATAACTGAAATTATTAGTCTTCCAATAAGTTTTGAGACCACGTTTAAAAATGTTGAATATTGGCACAAAGAATTTCCTTTTTTATTCGTTGTTGCGCAGATTTTTTTGTGCACCTTTTCGTGTAAAATTGTGCCGGTTTGTCACTATTTGACTCGATCAAAAAAGGTTATTTTTACAAATCTGCATTGGATAACAACATTGAACCGACTGCTCTTCTGAAGAAGTAGAGCTATCGTCGAGGTATTGAATTGTTGACGGAAAAGTAGCAAAATTATGCTGATTCTGATAGAGTATTCTTTGGCTGGTGTCAGAGTCCGCGATCCGTCGCAGGTTTCGCTGATTTTCGCGATTTTCGCGATTTGCGCGATTTGCGCGAATTCACGCGACGGATCGCAAAAATTGCAAGTGTGTGAACATTTGAAACACTGAATATGAAACAAGTGGAATCATGAGCAGTCGTCATTCAGCCATCACTATCAAGCAAAAGTGGCGGCAGGATTGAAGAATGGGTGTGGGTACTTAGGACAGAACGCGACTTTTTCGCTCTTCGCAACGCGACATCGCGCGGCAGGCTGGCGCACCCGCAGCGAAAACAACTACGGTATGGAAGAACGCGCGATTGGAGCAGCTTTTTTGCATGCGTGAATTTGTAAGTTTCTGATTCCTTACTTGCCCGCGCTCACACCCATTGTATTGATAAATGCGGTGAATCACTAATTCTGTCTCATTATTGAAAACGTTTTGTGACTTACACGATTCCGGGCGATGCCACACAAATGGTGTTTTACGAATTATCGGTGAACGAGGGTTTAATAGTGTCGCTTGTGCTTGCATTTTGTGGGTTCATATTGTTGTATAGACATCTGCATAAGGGTATAACATCTTTTACGGAACGCTTCTGTCCTCATTACGGATATGATACTCATTTTTGACGCTGGCGCCATTTGGGCCGGGTGGCGCCACAACTGATTCCCACTAAATTCGCTGTAAACTTCTGTATAGGGGTTATTCGGGGTCCTGATTTGTTGTTAGCGCTATTCGGCGCCTGCTTCCTGCTCGTCTGCGCCCTCGCACTAATTAGATCGCAATAGGACTAAGCCTTTGAGTAGTGTAGGGCTCCAAAGTGGGTAGGCCATTCCCCTGTGGTCTGACACACTCCAACTTTTGCCACACGGTGCGTGGTTTACCCACTCCGGAGTTTCACTCCCCTCCCCTAAGCTTAGTCGTAGGCGCTGTAGGTGAGAAAGCTTAAAGCAGAAAGTATGCGTTAAACAGCACGAATGTGAAAAATGAGTGTCATCATGATCAGGGCTATCCCTATGCAAGAGTACAGATCGATCTCTCAGGCGTCCATTCACCATTCCTCTTCCAGGTTCTCCAGAAGCTCTACCATCCATCTCTGCAAAAATAACCTACCTCCCTCTTCACTGCTAGTTAGCGGTCCACTTCTGGTTACCATTTCCTCGTTCATAATCAAATCCATGGCTATCAAGCTTTCAAACTTGTCGCAATCAAATTCCGACACAATTCGTGCTCCAACGCTTGCGTTCTCTTATAACCATATTGTTAGACCGACGTCATAGTCGGCGACGGACTAAGCGATGGA